CGGAATGTGGCCTAGTGGTAAGGCACCTGGTTTGGGACCAGGGGATCGCGAGTTCAAATCTCGCCGTTCCGACCATTATTAATTATTAATTACTTTACTCAGGGTTTTAGAACTCTGAATACTGCGAAGAGTAGTAGTATAGGTGAATTAGTATTTGATAATGGTTTAAAAACCAATTCTCTTCTTTTTCTCTTTTTACAGTTTTATTTTTTTTGTTGGATTTTTTTATTTTTTGTTTTTCTCTTTTGCCTTCTCTTCAAAAAACTTTTGTCTATTGTAGAGCCAAGCGGAGAGGGGAAAGGAGTAGGATAATCAGCAAGAGGGAGATAAACAAGGAGCAAAGTTGAGGAGTAGACTTTGGATCATATCTAATAAAGAACAGACCATAGTAAAAGAGTAGAGGACTGAAAAGCCTAAAAGCAATCAATTCTTATCACTCCATACTATACCAACTCCAATTCTTACCAATAAATCCATGAGGGAGACGGGAGGGGAAATAGTTGTCTTATCTCTCTTACGAGAGAACGACACCACACACCAATCCTTACAAGTTTCTTATCTGTTTGACAACAGAACGAAACGGATTGTCTGTGATAAGCGAAACAGGAGTCGGATGAGCAAGGGGGCTGTGAGGTTGCGATAGCACGAACAGACCACGAGCGAATTAGTTCCATTCAAGCGAAACGGACTATGAGCGAAGCAAATGGGAGCGAAACACAAATGGCTTGTCCTTTGTGTGTAGCGTATGAGTTAGAGCAGGAAAGGAGATAGATAGAGTTTTTTTTTGATAATAGTTTTATTCGTTAGAATAGTTTAAACTATTAGAGATTAAGAAAAAAATAGGAACTATAAATAGTTCCTAACTATAAAAAAAGAAAGGCAAAATAGTCTACTATGAGCCTTCTTAAAGGAAAAATTAAGGGCATGAATAGAAATCAAAATATAGCAAGGAAAAAGTATAAAGACAGAATTAGCGAATTAGAAATTGAAGTCAGTTTATTAAGACAAAAGTTAGAAATGATTGGAAAGATTTGCGGACTTAATGACTTGGCAAGCGTTCCAGTAGTAGGAGAAAAGATGGCAACGGCTCGGCCTATTGCTACGGTCTGAAAGAGCGGGGACAATGTTGTTTTTCAAACGAATAATGAGGATGACAAGAAGTATTTAGAAACGAAGTTCGGCGAACAGCAAAGTCAGATTGAAAGCAAAAAGGAAAAGGTTCAGCAATTAGAAGAGCAAAAGCAAGAAATTAAAGAAGATAAGGGCGATAGTTTTGCGGAGCATTTGAAACGCTAAAAGGTTATGGAAAGTTTAGCAATTATTTTAACAGTCAGCCTCACAGTCAATATTTTTTTAGTTGGCTTGGTATTGTTGTTATGGTTTAGAAAATGTAAAACTTGCGGAGATGATAAAGAAATTGGGTCAATATTTAAAACAGAATGCCATCGCTGTAATAAAAAGAATGGCAAAAAAGGCAAGAATATTTTTTAAAATGGGTAGCACAAATAATATAAAAGAAACGAATATCGGGCATGCTCTAATTGGTAAGACTTGCCAAGAATGTAATAAGACATTTACCAATAAAGACATTTTAAATTATGGAAATTGAGCGGTTGAGTTTGATACTTCCAATGATGTAAAGTTAGAAGATAATAAGGTTAAGAACTACGGCTGAAATCTTACTATTTGAATACGCCACGCTTACCACTCCTCCTGCGATAGAATAGGGGAAGAAGATAAAAAGGAAGAAGTAAAAGAAAAAGTTGGGTTGTATGGAATTAATGAAGTCATGGAGAGTTTAATAGAGAGCCAGCGGCGGGCAATGGAATTAAGCAAGAAGCAATAAAACTATGACAAGTAATTATTCTAAACAAGTTTACGAATTAATTGGAGTTAAAGTATTAGAAAAGACGTCGGACAAGACAGGAGCAGGTAAACATGCGGGCGATACTTTTTATAGGTTAAATATCACTTGCGAAAATCGGCCCGAGGTTAAACAGGTCAAAGTTTTTAAAGATAAGGTTGGGACTTATGGCGGTGTTTCGCAAGAAGAAATCTGAAAGGCGGTTGTTAATTCGGACTATGCGGACAAGCGTTATATTTTTTATTGCCATCGCAAAGACATTATACATTATGCTCTTGTTGGCTGAAAAGAATTAGAAATAAAATGGTAGAAAGTAAAAACAATACTTCCCAAAGGTTAACAGATAAAGAAATAGAGCATTATCACAGTTTAATAACAATTAAATCGATTTTTGATGATAAGAAGGGGGGTTTTTCTTGGATGGTCTGCTGTAAAAAATGCGGGGGGCCACTCTTCCCTTATAATAAAGCCATGGAAAAGAAACGTGTTGATAATGCTCTAAACGGGCATCACTGCCAGCCTTACATAACGCTTAAAGAAAAATAAAAATGGTAGAAATTAATATTGATTTGGAAAATACGAAAGAAGAGCCAATTGATAAAGAAAAGGTTAGGGGCTTCGTATGGCATAATTACAAAATGAAGTATGCGAAAGATAAGCGGGGATTTTGGCTAATAGTTAATTATCGTAAACAGAAATATTTTGGCTTCATTGATGAAAAACTACTCGGGCAAGGTATCCAAGACAGCAAGACAGCGGAGACAATGGAAGCGGTTATTGATAACTTAACAGAAAGAATATTAAAAAAACATGGTAGATCGTAAATATTCAAATAGTCAATCGCAAGCAAATTATTTAGAAAATATGTCGCTGTTGATTTGGCAAAATCACATAATTAAGTTAGATAAAAAGAAGAATGTTTTTATTGTTGGCGTAGAAATGGAGGGCATTCCTTATTTTAGAGAAGTTGAAGTCGGGCAATTTAGAGAATGGTTGGCGGATGCGGTGCCTCCTATTCATGGATTTTTTTATGATAAGATGGAGGAGATTATCAAAGAATTAGCGGCGGAGGTTATTAAATGAAGAGAAGAAAGAGACAGTCAACAATATAAAGATTGGCACCAGAAACATAAAAATAATGGAAGTAAATAATAGAATACTTGAATTAAAGAAAAGAGTTCAGCGAGTAATTGATTATTGGCAAGGTCAGAAGTCTTTCGCGGTTGATATTCACAAAGGACTATTTAAGAAGTTAGACAATTTAAGAGAATTAGAAGCAATTGAAAATATGCCAGCCTATATTTTAAATGCCTATATCATTTACAAGCGGGCTTTTTATAGCAATTGGCAAGAGGAACATTTAAAGGTTAATCAATTTGACAGGGATGGTTATTTAGAAAAATTGGAGTTTGAAATTGAAATCTTGGAGAAAGATAGTTTGAAGGACTTCATGAATGAATTAGATAGAAGAATTGAGGAAGGGCAAATTAAGCCTATCCAAATTATAGAAATATTAAGAAAATACAATGGAAATTATAAATAATAATTCAGCACAGCAAATAAGTAATAAATTCGAAATAAATATCGAAAAGGAGCAATTGTTCTTTTGAAAAGATAATATAAAGACTGAATGCCTTGACAAAGGGGATGGCCAATACAATTATCAAAAGTTTTTTCAATTAGACCAAGAGCATAAAGACCACTGAATAAATTACGCGGTCAAAAGTTCAGGGGGTAAAGTATGGGTTGACTTTTGATATAAGAAGAGAATCGGCCAAGAACAATATATCAACTATAAAAAGCGGGTTGAAAAGTTGGCGAATGTTGTAGAAGTAGAGTTTGATTATTTGGATGAAATGATAAAAATAACGGACATGGCACTTTTACCAGAAAAAAGTAAAGAAAGAGGTTATAAATGGGTGAATAAGGTTAAATGGGGCATGGAAAGGGCCAAAAAGTAAAGATGAAATGCGAGCCAAGGAAGAAATAATTGTCTTTGATTTGGTAAATGATAAAAATGTTGAAGATGGAGGACTTGGGGTAGGTTATGGCGATTTTAGTTATAATTTATTTCAGCCACAAAAGAAAGGTCAAGGGGAAAGAATAAACGAAATACTTTTATACATTAAGCACAAAATCTTAATGGCTATAATGGCTAATAGAGGAGTATTAATAATAATTCAGTTGGGGTTCTGATGATGATGAAAATGAAAAGAAGAAAGGAGATTAAAAGAATTAACCACTATTAATAACGGTTTGGGCTGAAAATCTTTCACAGAAGAGCAAAAGAAAAAGTGAATTAGATGGAATAAAGAACTTAATATTATCGCTGAAAGACTTATTAAATGATTAACTGAAAATGGTTATAGATGGATTTATGTTGTAGATAGGAAAATTAAAGAGTTTAAAAGGACTTATCCTGTTAAAATAAAGGAAAGTTTAAATAGAAATATAAAAGATGTTGTTCTTCTTATCTTAATGTATTGAAAAGGACTTTTAAAGGGCTTTGAAGAAGTAAGGAAAAGGTTAAGTAAAAATTATTATTGGGACAATTACCATAAGATTAACATAATGAAATTAATCGCAAAAATAGTTTATATGTTGTTAATGAATATAAATAATTGCTTGCTTTATGGGGCAAGGTTCCTTAATACTTCTAATTTGGTTATACTTGATGAATATAAATTAATTGCGATTGTTCCTGCTACTACTCCTTAAAGCGTGAAATACAAAATATACTTCCCCAATGATGGGGACTGCAAATGGTTAAACTGTCCAAAAAAGGGCTATGAAGTAAATAATGGCTATTGCTACACTCACAGAGTTCAAGGGAAAGAATTAGGGGAATTAAGACAATGTTCTTTTTTTGATAAGAAAGGGTTTTGTATGATTGCCACGGCTGAAAAGTTTAAGGATAGGTTTTATTGTTCTAGTCATCATAAATTATTAATTGAATATGATAAAGAAATTAAAGAGCAAATAAAAATATTGAATGAGGAGGAAAGAAAAGGAAAAATGATTGAATTAGTTAGAGTATTAGAGAGTTATATTACATTATTAGAATTAAATGTCAGTAATCTTTAATTTATTTTTCTTAAAACTAAGTTAACGAACAAAATGAAC